GTGTGCCCAATTTCCTATGTGTCATCCACATCATTAAGGCTAATTTAATCCCTTAAATAATAAAAAATCATGCCCTAAGCTCCAGCCTTTGACCTCAAGAAGTGTTGATCCCAATTGCCTAATTGATGCACAAATCACATGCTACCTATGTCACATAAACCACATAATTCAATTAAATAGCATGTGGAAAAAAAAATCCAATTAATGTCTAAAATTAAATTCATAATTATAAGGAGAATTTATTAAAATAATGAAGTTTCAAGTTGCACAAAATTATATAAGAATTTTCACATAAAGGCAAACCGAAAACTAGGTCAAACTAAGACACTTTAAAAAGTGTTGACTTTTTATTTAATTACTCCCAAAACAAAATGAATTTTAAAAATATAATTTTATTAATCATAAACTGAACATAAAATGAACTTTTTCAATTTTTCTTGTACATTTTCTCAAAAGTTACTCTTTTGGACCAAATGCCCTTAATGTACTAAACCTAGAAACTTAGGTAAAATTCCAAATCTAATCCAATGTATGCAATTTGAGGTGATAAATTATAAATAAAAAGGTCCTATCTAATAAATAAAAATGTGTAACAAATATATTCTATCAATTTCCACACACTTAGCTTTTACACTCTAGGCAAAATCTAGTGAAAAAGGTCCCAAAAGAAACTCAAAGACAAATAAATGAGAAAAATAATGTTCAAAGTCACTAAAATACTAGCTCATAAACTTCTAAAAATTATCAATCAATGTAGTAATAATTAAGAAAGAATTATGCACATCACAAATAAATCCTTACCAAGAATCAATGTCAAAGAGTAAGCCTCTGTAAGTTAAGTGTTTGCTTTCATCACTCAAAGCGTATAAGTTATTTAACTTCACTCAAAATTCCTTAGGACAAACCCTACCATAAGTTTGTAACCCTTCTATATCTCCACTACTAAATAGCACTTGCAATCAAGAATTAAGTGGACTTTATTAGGTTATAATGTGGGTAATGAAATGATGTCTAAGAAATACATGTATGAAAAATAGGGTTAGCATCAAGATAATCCTAAGGTCAAGATATATCCCCTTAATATAAAAAGCATAACCTAATTCAATTGAGTAGACACCTTAACATAATGAGGATGGAAAGTAATGACAAGAGATAATAAAATAAATGGAATGGATGAGCTAGGCAACTTTTTATTATTTTTTTCTTTCTTTTGTTTTTCACCTTCTTTTCTTCTTCTTTTTGCTTCCTTTTTTTTTCTAGAAACTATGTTTCTTTTCTTTCACACACACACACACACACATTCTTTTAATTGCCCCTAACTCCTTCTTGAAGACAATGGATTTAATGGATATAATGATGTGACAATGGAAAGATAAGAAGTAATGGATAGAAAAATGACAAAAGATATCCACTTACTTGATTTAGGACATGCATTATATATTAAAAATATATATAAAAGTGTAACATGCATCCCTTAGGAAAAATAAGGTGAATATTTATTTTTGGAAAGAATCAAACTAAAAGCTCAATGTGGCTAACAAAGGATAATCAATAATAATGGGTTATCTATTTGACTCTTAGCTATTTTTATATGAATACCATTTTTCATCTCCTATCAAACAAGTTCAAGACATGTGGTCTCAAATAAGAAGTGAAACAAATTCTAGAGGGTAACATCACTAAGGAATTAATCACACATAAGTGTCTGGCCTCTTTCATGAAAGGGTAATGTGCCATTCTAATTCATTAATTCAAGGTAAAAGAATATTCACTTCACACCTATTCAATCCTAAAAATTACCACATCTCAAGCATGAAAATATTCATTTAAGAGCTAGGTCATTTATTAACCTCAAACAAAAAAAACAAAGAATAATTTTTTTAAATTTTTCAAAAAATTTTTCAAAACCAAACAAACAGAACAAAATGTTTATTTCTATCCCCCATACTTAAATCATGCATTATCCGTATGAACAGACTAATGATGAAACAAGGTAAGATCAATAATGAATGCATAATAAAAGTGTGGTATAGAATTGTCTTTTTAACACACATAAACAAATAAAAAGAAACAAGCAAACCAAAACAAACAAATCTACTATCTAGTAGGTTCATCTCCCCCACACGTGAACTATACTAATCATTAAATATATCAATTAAAGCAAGGTAAAAGCTCAAGGTTAGAGAGATACAATAACATCCAAAATTTCTTAATCCCGTAATTAGCTATTAATCTAGGGTAAAGTGATAATTAGTGTGGGATTAGGGATTTGAATTGCTGTACAATTATTTGACTTATTGGAATGTTAAATGAATAGATATGGGTGAGACGATTGCATCTTAGGTTGAAGAAAGTGCGCACGGTAAGAATTATTCTCATTGTGCCATGCACCGTGGCTTGTGCTACATGCGTCATGATGCATTGACTAGAAAATAACCCCTTAAGTCATAAAGTCTATGTAATTTTCAAAGGGTAGAAATTAGAAATGCATTGGAAGAGAAGAGAAGAAGGGCTAAAGAGCTATAGCAAGCTATTTCAGGTTATTGAAAGATGCTTTTGATCAATAACTTAGCGAGTAAGATCTATATAATTCTTACCTTCCATTCTACCCAAATTTCTCTAAAAATAAGTTATAGAAAAATTGAATCGGTGATATTTTAAGGATTTGATTCTTTTCTAATAGTAATAAAAAGGTTATTGGGTGTTAAGTTAGAACTTTGCAACTAGTTTAGAGCTTAACAATAGATCTTTGAACCCGTAGGCTCAATTTGGCCCTAAGAGAGAGAGATCTTAGGGTGGAAATCTGACTTGAGTGAAATGAGACTTGTTGAGGTGTTGTAAAGTAATAATCAAGTAGTAATGGGCTTAGAATGGATAAATGAAAAGAATACATGGCTAAATATAGCCATAAGTAGTGAATATGTGTTTTTGTCAAATTAGACTAAATGATTAAAATGTGCCAAATGCATTCAGATTGGCATATTGATCGTGTGAGTTGAGAAAGAAAGCTTGAGATAAGTTGTTGTGGTAGTTGAAATCCATAGGTAACCTTTCTAGTGACAAAAGAGTTGAGGTAACCGAATAACTTTTTTATTTGACTATTTATTCTAATTGTGTGTAAGTTTGCTATGTAGCACATGAAAGAGTTTTGAACTAAGCATGTTTTGTAGCATTACGTGATTGTTGCATGGAATAGCTTTTGATTGAAATAAAGCATTGAAATATGTAATTTCGAATAATGTGTAATATCTATATGTTATTTATGAGAAAGTATATAAAGTGGTGAATGAGGAAACTATGAATGGTTTGGAAAGCATAATCATAAGGGAAGGAATTCACCCAAGTATAGAAAAGTAGTGATAAGACCATATGGCATATTCTCTTTAATGCCTGACAGAGTGTGGTGTTGGAAAACTATATCTCTATAGTACCTTTTAAGGTGTGGTGTTGGAGAAGATCTCCTTAGTGCCTATTAAGTTACAATATTAGAGATATTAAACTCCTTAGTGTCATATGATACTGTGTTAAAGTCAACAACACCCCATTGTGTGTATTGGGGGAAATCATAATCTGAAAGTGAGATAGAACACATTTTGCTAGGTGATTCTATCACTAAAGGTGAGCCTATAGTTTTGTGTTAGGGTGACTTGGAGGTTCGGTCAGTAGTGATCATATTATATGACACAATATGGTATAAGTAGAGAAAAGTGGTGAAACAAGTGTAAAAGTGCTGAAATATTTGATATGAGTGTTATATGAAATGAAATATGTGATATATTATATAAAATGGTATATTATGCTTTACTTTCATATAGTTACATGTGATAGTTAAAAGGAGTGAGTTATTCTACTACTAATATTTTTAGCTCACCCCCATGGTTACATTTTTACAAGACAAAGCAGTGATCAAAGCAAGGGAAAAGAGTCTAGACTGACATAGTGGTGTCATAGTTGTGAGACCCTTTTGAATTTGTATAGTGAACTAAACACTTGTGCATGTTTGTGAGTATGAGTTGTCATAGGATTGCATACATGCTCTGAGTAATGATTTTGTCAAATCTTAGCCCAATTGTATATATGTGTGGTGAAATGAAGTAGGGGCTAAGATTTAGGTATATGTGTTGAAAATGTAGTGAAAATGGTGAATCTTAAGCCCATATGAGAATCTATGATGACATGAGTAATTTAGGGCTAAGATTGAGTTTTAATTATATTATAGATATGTTATTATATAAATGTGTTAAGAAAAGAGCCAAATGGGCCAAGTTATGCCAAGTGTTAGCAAATTTTAAAAGTTTGTGAAATGTGGAAATTGACTATTAAGGGGTCAAATTTTAATATATGCATATATTTGTGATATAATATGGTCAACCAAGTGTATTAGGTCCTTTCGGACTTGATACAAGTCTTCATGTGGTCTAATGAGAAAAAGGTATCAATTTGAGCAATTGGGTGCACAAATTTTTAAGAAAAAGTGACTTTTTGCACCTCGAGTGTCTAAATTTGGATTGGACTATTAGATCATATCCAAACCTATCTCATTAGCTAGATTATGAGATAAGCTTCATGTGGGCACTTGAATCACTCCGATCGAACATTGTATGTGAAAACGGTGGATGCTAGAAGTTCATCATTTTGTTGTCAAAATGATAGCAGAAATTTCAAATAGGCGTACAGTAACGCATGGCACAAAAATTCAAGTGTGTGGCTTTGTGCCACATGCTGTGATGCATACACTATACACCACAATGCATGGCCCAATTTCCAATTTGAATTTGAGGTTTTTAATGCATGCAATGATTGAGATTGATGTCTGTGATTTATTTCTAATGCATATTGCTCTGATGCATTATGATTTTTGATATTTTGACAAAACAAGTCTTTGGCTAAAACTTTTCAAATAAATTCTTTGATTATTGATTAGTATGTTTAAGTGGTGATTTCTGTTAATCTTTTCCTATATTGAGTGGATATAGGGGAAGGTTCCATATACAACTTTATTATGGTGGCTCAAAAACATGTTGAGAAAAGTCCTCTTCCTTTTGAAGTGTTGGGTCGGCCTCCGTGTAAAGCTTGCATAAATGGCCATTAATTTCCCAAGTAGACCCCATGGCTTTATCCTTGAGTTGAAGAACTACATAAGAGAGAACATTAGTCACCACATATGGCCCATGCCATTTAGATGTGAGCTTGGAATATTTATGGATATATCTTGTCTTGTAAATAAGGACTAAGTTTCCAACTTTGAAATTGTTCCTCAAGATCATTTTATCATAAAGAACCCTTGTTTTCTCCTTGTAAATCCTAAATGACTCATAAGCATCCAACCTAAGCTCCTCTAGTTCTTTCATTTGAAGGAATCTCTCCTTAACCAAAAGATGCAAATCCAAGTAAAGTTTCTTGATGGCCCAATAGGCCTTGTTCTCTATCTCCACTGGGAAGTGGCAAGCCTTTTTGTCCACCAATCGAAAATGAGGCATCTCAATGGGAGTCTTATAAGCAGTTCGGTAAACCCACAAAGCATCCTCCAAGTGTAAAGATCAATCTTTCCTATTTGTGTTCACCACCTTGGTTAAGATCTTCTTGACTTCTCTATTTGATACTTTGGCTTAGCCATTAATTTGGGGATGATATGGTGTAAAAATCTTATGATGCACCCCATATTTATCTGAGAGAGCCTCCATCATCTTGTTGCAAAAGTAGGATCCTTGGTTACTTACCAAGGCCTTAAGAACTCTATACCTACAAAGAAATATTAGATTTGAGAAACTTCAAGACAATCTTAGCATCACAAGTTCTAGTATGAATGGCTTCAGTCCACTTTGAAACATAATCGACATCAAGTAATATGTACTTAAAACTAAAGGATAGTGGAAAGGGACCCATAAAGTCAATGCCCAAAACATAAAAAATCTCACAAAATAAAATGGGTCGTTGAGGTATTTCATGCCTCTTACCCCAACTACCAACCTTTTGACATTTCAAGCATGCTTGACAAAATTTGTAAGAGTCTTTAAACAAGTGAAGCCAATACAATCTGTAATCTAAAACCTTTCTAGCTATTTTATTTGAGCTAAAGTGACCACCACACGCATGAGAGTAATAAAAATCAAGAATAGAAGGCACATCAATATCATCAACATACCTCCTAATCACTTTATCACTATAAATCTTTCATATCAAAGCTGGTTCCCAAATATAAAACATAGATTCTCTTTTCAATTTTTTAGCAACAAATAGCAAAGCATAAGGAGCCAAGACTCTACACTCAATATAGTTAGCAAAAGAGGCATACCATAGAGGCTTAGATGAAATGGCACACAATGCCTTATTAGAAAATAAATCACAAGGAATAGTAAGGTTAGAGTTTACCATAATAGCTTCCACATGAGGTAGCCTAGACAAATGATCCACCACTTCATTAGTAGAACTACTCCTATCCTTATCTACACATTAAATTCTTATCATCAAGATCACCTATCAAATCAAGTGAGGCTTAGAATCTGTCTTCTTAAACAAGTACCTTATAGCAGCATGGTCAATGTACACAATAACTTTAGAGTTAAGAAGATATGATCTAAACTTATCAAGTGCGAAAACAATAATAAACAAATCTTTCTTAGTCGTAGTGTAATTAACTTGAGCTGAATCTAGGGTCCTAGATACAAAAGCAATCACATATGACAACTTGCCCTCTCTTTGACCAAGCATAGCTCACATAGAAAAATTGAAAGCATCACATGACAACTCAAAAGGCAAAGACCTATTTAGGGCTTTAAGGATGGGAGCGGAAATGAGCATACTTTTCAAAGTGTCAAAACTCTTTTTACAAGAATCATCAAAAATAAAAATCAACATCTTTTTGTAAGAGTTTAGACATAGATAAAGTAATTTTACTAAACCCCTTGATAAATCTCTTATAGGTAAAGCAATATCTTTTTGTCCCAAAAATAATCTCAAATCTTTCAAACAAATAAGATATGGCAAAGAAGAAATCACATCTACTTTGGCCTTATCCACTTCTATACCCTTAGAACAAATTAAATAGCCCAAAACAATGCCTTTATCAACCATGAAATGGCATTTCTCAAAGTTAATCACAAACTTCTTCTCAATGCATCTACTAAGCACTTTATCTAAAGAATGCAAGCATGAATCAAAGGACTCACCATACGTAGTAAAATTATCCATAAAAAATTCCAAGCAGTTTTTAATAAAATCACAAAATATAGACATTATGCATCTTTGAAAAATACCCGGCACATTACAAAGACAAAAAGGCATCCTTTTATAGGCAAAATTACTAAAGGGGCATGTAAAGGTGGTCTTATCTTGTCACTAAGAGCTATGGAAATTTAAAAATACCCATTGAACCCATCTAGGAAGCAATAATAAGACTTGGAAGCCAATCTCTGAAGCATTTAATCAATAAAAGGCAAATGAAAATGGTCCTTCCTAGTCACATTATTGAGCTCCCTATAGTCTATGCACAGTCTCCAAGCATTTTAAACTTTAGTTGGCATAAGCTCTCCTTTCTTATTTTTTTATTACAATAATCCCTCCTTTCTTAGTTACAACTTAGGTTGGAGACACCTACTTCTAATGTCCACCTTGACATTACAAAAATTCACCACACAATCACAACAATCATAATTAGGAACAAGGATTGCTCCTAAGCTCACATTATATATATAAGGGTTAAAACTAATAATCTTTTAAAAACAATTGTGAAATATTTGGGATCCCATAAAAACCCTTCAAATTTGTAATTTGAGCTCAAACTTAATGATTTATAAAGCTATGGGAAGCAAGGAAAAGTTTTGAGAAGCAAAACACTTTAAAACAAGGCCAAAAATATCATTTTTAAGTATTTTGGCACATGCACCATGGCTTATGGTCCACGCGTCGTAGCATGTGACACAGAAAGGCAAATTTGGCCACTATACCGTGCACCGTGGCTTGCATGAAATGCACTACAGTGCATGTGTCATGATAGCAAAAATTCTGTCATGACAGCTTTTTAGGACGAACTTCAAACACGCGTTATTTTCGCATCCGATGTCCGATTAGAGTAATTCAAGCATCCACGTAAAGCTTATTCAATAAGCTAACTAATGGTACAATTTCATTATGATCTAACATTGTATGAGAATATTAGACACTCAGATGCGAAAGTTAATTTTTAAAGCAATTTTCAAGCATCCAAGTACCCAAAACTCAAAACTTATACCATTAACTCATTTTGAGGCTTGAACCAAGCCCAATAGACCAAAATACACCTGATTGAGCATTCAATTACACAAAAACATACTAATCATAAAATTTGGCCACTTAATGCCAATTTCGCCCAATATGGCCAAAATACAAAATCAACTCCATACACTATTTGGCCTCTATTGCTATATAATATAACATATACATTTTCACCACATATATAAAACATTCCTTACACTTGTATTTGTATTTTAGCCTATTACCACAAAAATCACCATATATATATACATCATATACAATGTTGGGCTAAAATATAAAATATCATAGTATAATACAAGTGCAATTATCAAAATGACGTACATTCTTAGTTGGCAACTCATGTTATCATCTATATAAGTTTATGTACATGACTCAAAATAAAATTAAGCTTTACAATGATAATGTAGCAAGTATGCTAGCCTTGCTTGATTCATTCCCTTGCTCAGTCTCAGTAGTAGAACTTGTAAAATGATAACTACGGGGTGAGATAAAAATATCAGTAACTAAGATAATCTACATTATTGATTAATATGCTAAGTTATAAACAAGCCTTAAAATAAGCATAATAAATACACCATATAAAATCACCACAAGTTACATGCATGATCACTATCCATCTGGTCTTCCAATACTCCTAACCAAACTAATAGGCTATTTCATGGAACCAAACCATATGTATGGTCCCCAAGCTCACCATACATGTTAGGACTACCCAACCAAGGTGTCCTAAACCACTTCTGGACTATTGGTTCCACCTATTACAAGTAATTGGGGTGTTGTTACTCCAACATTGCATCCTACGAATGCTAAGGAGTATAGTCTCCAACTCTGCACCCTTCTAAGTACTAAGGAGAGTAAGTCTCTAACATCACACCCTTTTTCGGGCACTAAGGATAAATATGAGCTGCACCTGACGTCCTAAGGTACTAGCAAGACCATATGGACTTAATCTCCACTTACTCTACTAAGGTGACCTCCCATCCTCTAATATGCCACATTTCACTACATATCTCTACTTGACCATGCATAAACTACTTTCAAAACCAATTTAATGAATATTACAACTTATTTCAGAAACATGACATTTTACAAATCAATATTGCACTCATTTTCTAAAATAGTTAACTTTTACAAAATTCATATATATACATGTAACAAATCATACAGGAACAACTTGAGAAAAACTTATACAAGGTAATAAATAATGCAAATTATCTAGTTACCACAACCCTTTTGTTACTAAAAGGGTTACCATGGTAGTAAATCTCTTCTTGTGTCAAGGTAAGTTTTCCCACACCACAATCTACATCAACAAGTACTATATGTTAATTTTCAATTAACACAAGCACTATTGCTATCCATAACATCCCAATTCTCCCACTTCTCACTCATATTCTCAACAAATAAGCTTGTCAAGATTACAATTTTTCTTACACAGTCCCTTCAAGCCTCCCTCTAATTCTATCACAACATAACACTTGACATCTCTACTTGTCACACCTCAAAACCTTATAATCAAGCTAGGGCTTGATCCAACTTTCACCAAACAATAATTTAACTTTATAGTACTCCTTATCCAAGGTTAAGAAACTTAAATCAAACCTTTAGAGTCAATAAAAACCTTTAAAACATAGACTCATAGCTTAATCCATTTAGAGAAAAATCTCCCGCTTGAAAATGAGATGAAAAGGTAGAGGAGAAGGGTAGGAAACTAACTCAAGAGTTTTAAGGCCTAAGTTATCTTCAAACTTCTCCCAAAATGATGCCCTAGCAGTGCTCAAATCTTCCTCCTTCAAGTTCCAAGCTTTCACTAACCAACAATGACTTTTTCAGATCATTTTTGCATTTTATGCATGTGTTGTACTATGCGCTGCAACGTATGACACAAAGTTGTGGCTCATAACACAGAGAGCAAAAACTTGCTTTTTCTCCCCCAATGCCACTCAATGTAGCGCACGACATACAAGTTGCGACTCATGATGCAGAGAGCAAAAACTCACTTTTGCTCCCCCTAATGCCACCTGATTCAATCTAACTTCTATCCTAACTCAATTTAGAGTCAAATATGACCCCAAAATCCAATTAGCAACCTAAAAACATAATTAAATTAATTAATCATATTTTTAACTAATTTATCCCTTAATTTGTCAATTTTTCTAGGTTTGAAGTTTTCAGATGTTACACTACTCACTATCTTTTATAGGATAAATGATCCCAACACTAAGTA